ATAAAAATGAGGCTTCTTAAATCTTTTTGCTTGAACTACATCTGCTTTCAATTTTTTTCTACTTTGTCCTTTTCTCAAACTCTTAAGGTAGAAACAGTACAAATGTAAAATTTAAAGTATTGACTGATGTAATAAACTAAATAAGCACCTTTAGAAGACCACTGGGAGAGCTGTGAGAAGCATAGGTCAATGTAAGGATTGACTAGTTGCAAATCAAGTGAAAATGATTTTGGATTAGGAGGGGTTTTTAGATGGGTTTTGGAGCAGGGAGACTTGGCCTGAAGATATGTGACTTCATTATGTGTGTTTGTTACTTCACCTTACGTGTGACTAGTGTTGGGACAATTTCTGTATGTTATCTAATGTCTTCCTTAATTAAAATATAATCTGTTGTTTGCAAAGCAATGCTGAAAAACTTGGCAAGTAAGCACTCCAGATTTTGATACACTACCTGTAGAAAGTTCTCAGTGTTTCTTTTAAACTCAATTCAAATAACCATTTTATAAATGGTTTCACTGAAACCAACTATGGCACCCAGCTCGGGTGGAACTGCTTACATACTTATGCAGGATTCGACCTGTTTGGAAGCTAATATGGACTTGTAAATTGCTTTTATGACTACAAAATATGCTGGCCTAAACTTTACCATTTTCCTATATAGGCTGAAGAACAATTGAAAATTGTTGAAGAACAAAGAAAGATTCATGAGGAGAGGATGAAACTAGAACAAGAGAGACAGCGTCAGCAAAAGGAAGAGCAAAAAATTATCCTGGGCAAAGGAAAGTCTAGGCCAAAACTGTCCTTCTCCCTAAAAAGCCAGGATTAAATTTCAACTCTGAACTCCTAAAAGAAAAAAGAAACAAACAAAAAACAACAAAAAAAAGGAAAAACAAACAAACTTTGTATGGTAGCTTCATGTTGAAGTGGTTTTTTTGGTTTTTTTTTTCTTTCTCTCAAATTTTTTTTTTTGTCTTTTTTTGAAAGTTGGAAAGTTAGCTTGTTCTAATAGGGGCTGTGCTCTGCAATTCTTATTTTTTTTAAACTTCCATTAAGTTAAACCCTTATCAGATCATCGTTCCCTTTTAGAGGATAATCTGTTTTCATCAATTTTGTTTGTGTATTGGTGGTCTGAAGCAACTCATGTCACTTTATGAACTGTGGATGATCTGATAAGGTTTTACTGACCTACTCATCAGAGTTTGACTCTGATAATTGACAGAACTTTTTACTGGGTATTGCTGACTTTTAATGTTTTTATTTTAAAGTCAGTAAATACATGAGTAAATTGCCATAGTATTACTGGACCTCTGTGGTTTATTGTTAAATCAGTGTCCTATGATACTGTCCCGTTGTTGCGCTTGATGTTCCTGATACAGGTAAGGAAATAGTTTGTCATTTCTGCTATGAATACATAGAGAGAGTTCAGTATTGTCTCTGTTAGATTTGTTTTTATTACATTGACAGCATTCAACCAGCGTTCCCCATTGTGTAAATAAATCAATTTGCTGAATAAAGTGAAAGTCTTAAATTCATATGTTTAAGTAAATTTTTTTAGTACACTTCTATAAACTGCTATAAAGAGTGGCAATTCACATTATCAAATTCAAGACTATAGTGATATTTTTTTAAATTTTGCTTTAAACTGTTGTGGCTTCTACTTAAGATGCAAAATCACAAATAGTAAAAAAATCCCTGCAGTTGTGAATGTTATTGATGGCTGCTGCTGTTTTTATGAATGTTGGTTTTTATTCTGACAGACTTATTTCAGCTGTAGTATCATGTTTAAACGGCTGTTTGGCTTACTGCACCCAGACCGATACTTCCGATATCTAAAACCCCTCAGTTCACCTCATAATATAATATATTGTATAAGTTAAGGTCATTACCATAAAATGAATCTGATGGATCCTAAAGGATTTAAAAATGGAAGTTTTTTCTCCCAAAGGACTGGACTGGCTAGTATATTTGAACTAAAAAACAGAAAGTGAGGTTCTGTTTAAATATATTGTTTTAGCCAGAAAGCAACTGTTATACAGATCTTGAATATTATTCATTTATATATACAGGTTTTATTTTGAAAAATGAAACTACAGATAGAAAACTATATATATAAAGTCCCCATTTTTGTATGTAATTCCTCTACTAAAATCTAGATTACTATAGCTTGTCCAGTTCTAAAACTTTCTTTTTCCTGTCAGCGTGCAACATCTGTAGTAACCATAAAATGACAGTTGCCAGTAGTTGCCTGAGCATTTGAATGTCACTGGACAAAGTTGGAAGTAGTTCCTGATATGCCCAAAGGGTCTGTTTCTGTAGATTTAGCAAATTAAATTTGGGAGCAAGTTGAATGTGCCACTGAAAGCAGTATTCAACCAGCTTTGTCTGAAACTGGGGCTTGGGGCCAGATTGATGTGTATCGCTTTGTCCAGTATGTCAAGAAAATGTGAAGATGGTGAAATACCTACACTATTATTGTACTTAAATTTGTCTATATATTGTGTGACAGAAGAAGGTTGAAAGTTGCTTAATGCATAAAAACAAAAGCTGAAGCCAAATAAATCATGTACATGACCTGTTGGCAGGAGCAGGCTGTATTTAAAGATCAACTGATACCTGTATTTCTAAAGCAGAAAACATCCCCTGTTCCCTTATGAGAAACAAGCTATTAAAAGTCAATACTCAAAACAGACCTATGCAGTTTTGTTTCCTCTTCTGAAAGAAAGAAGCTAAGTAATCCTACATGCAGCTGTGGTATCGAGCATTTTGTTCTGCATCACATAATGTGCTGCTAAATAGCAACATTTGTTCTTTGCATTTAACATTGTGTAGGCTTAGATGTTACCAGGTTATTTTCAGTCCCACCTTTAGGATTATCTTTTGGACAAAATGCCCATTCCTAATGAGATTGTCCCTCCTGCCATTATACATTTCACTACCTGTTTCTCTTTCCCCTGCCCTCCAATAATAAAAAAAGGGGAAAAAAAAAAAGAAAAAGCAGTTAGGTCTTTGGTTTGATTTCTTCTGTTGGGATACAAGTTCAGTTGGTGGAATCTGCTGTCTCTTTGCTGTCCTAAGGCATTCTCTGTGTCTTAGATTTTTGTAGACCTGCTGTGGGTGAATGTTATGTTTGCATTGCTGTAGGGTTTTCTTTTTAAAATTATTGTAAGACTTCAGAGATACTGTTGATTTCTAGAAAAAATATAAATGCATATAGTTTGGAAAGGGGGCAAGTTGACATTTGATGGTAAGAACTTGGGATATTCTTGTATTCCCATAGGACTTCACACCCTTTTAACGCAAAGTATGCAGGAGCATAGACTGACGTGTAGTCAGTTTATGGTTTAAACCACGAGCTCCCTGCACTTGTCTGCATAGAGAAAATGCTGTTGGTGATTGTGTTCGGTGTTTAATTTTTATTTTATTGCAGTTTGAAGTATGAACTTCAAATTTTGGTTAGACAAGTTTTAGGTTGTTCTGGAATTTTGTATGTCGTTGACCACCCCAGGAAGGCAGGTAGGCATTTTTGTTGCTACCTATCTTGAGCAGTATTCATTTCCCTTATATGGTAACAGAAGAGATCTTAGTTTTCCCAAACTTGTTCATAAATGTCCTGGATAATTATTTTAATATGAAACAGTGCGTCTGTCTGGCAAAGGTAGGAGCGTGGAAGGCCTTAGAACAGCATGTTAAACATGTGCTCTTAGTTTGCTGATTTGATAAACTGCCCTTTGAACTTTGCATGTTCATTTATCATCATTTTTCTAAGCTCAAGTGGAAAGTTGACTTCTGAGAAATATATTGGCAGGACGGCATCCTCGCAGCTTAGCAAAGCAGAGACAATTACATTAGTGAGATGTCTAAACTGCCAAGCAACTGCATTTGTATGTATAATCTCACCAAAGTATCAACAGTTCATCCATTCCTATCTTGTGTTGAAAACTAAGGATTTACCTTTGATGTCTCCTTTTCTCCCGGGCTATGTGCCACCTTATACACCTCACCCTATCTATTGTCCTTCCTGACCTGAAGCTGATATCCCCCTCTTTGTGATGTTATTAACATGCTCTCAGGCTTGAGTTTCTGCCATTTTGCATGTACACCAAATATGGAGATGTTGGTTATTACTCACTTTTAACTGCATGCAGTATTTCATTAAACATTTTCAGAGCATTTGGGGTCTTAGCTCTGTCATTGCAAGGTCTCAGCTTGGTGCAAGAGCAGGTGAAATTCAAGTCAATAAACACCTTCCAGGTTGTGTTACAGAGGGGGTTTATTTCAGAAGAGAGCTGCGGAGAGCTGCCTGTGTGCCTAAGGCTCATTCCAAGGCAGGAGGATATGGTTGACGTGCCCAGGTTGGTATGGTTTTGGACTGACGGGCCAGACTAGTAGGAGCTGAACCATGACTTTCATGCACCTCTGTTCCATTCTCGTGCTGGGATTGCCACATGTGCATTTCAGGGTTATCCCACTCTTTCCATCCCACCATTTTGTTAGCCTGCTGAAGGGTGCTGAGCTTCTGTTGACATTTCCGTACTAAACAACCTCATGTTTACAATCATCTTCCATGCACTGACACTTAGAATCGAGGGTTATGCTAGCTCAGCATCAGCTCTGCTCGAAAGGACATAGATCCCCCTTTGACAATAAAAGGCCTGTTGTGTTGCAGAAGCTTGATCCCAGGCCCATTTTTCCTACCCCTCATATCAGACTGTACAATAATGAAAATATTTTTGTTTTCAAGGAGTGGTACAGAGAATCAGCATAAGTCAAGTCAAACAGAGTTAAAATTAATGGTTTAGATATATGAACATCTCTGATTTTTATTACAAGGCTGCTTGAATTCTATAGCTGTATTTGGGAGAAGCCAAGCTCATTTTCTAAGAAGCTATGTTGACCAAAACTACAGTTCTAAACAGACCTGGTGAAGACAAATTAATATCTAGACGTGTACTTACTCTACCCTAAGTGCAGAAAATGCACTGTTGCAGTGTGAATGATGTATTAAGAGCTGTTGCAGGTAGCTGGCACACTTGGCCTTTTGTACAAACGATAAAACAATTCATTTAGGTGAATAAGCATCGGTCATGATAATTTTTCTTTATTGAATTTAGCAGTAATTATATCCATTGTGTTATATCTTTTTGACTTTCAAAACTGGTACATTTTCATATAATAATGAATTATGGTGAGCTTTTCGACTTCAAAAATACCATGTTTAGGCTGATGTTTAAGAGAGAATCAGGGATTGTGGGCCCAGTCCTGTTCCCATTCAGATTAGCTGTCCTTCATTATAGATTTTGTAGTACCAGAGCCCGTATCTATGTAATTATTGCCGACATCACTGTTTGAAAGAAGGTGAAGGAGGTTATTCAGTGATTAACAGATTTTTTTTTTTAAGCCAGTGTGAGGTACAGGAATAAAGGTTTAAGCGGCACAAACAGCAAAGTCCCAGTTTTTCAGTGAAGGCAAGGGATAGGCAGGTCTCACCTGCTCCTGGCAGCGCTCATCCATCCATCCGTCCATTTGTGCGTCCATCCCCGTCCGCCGAGCCGGGCCGCCCGGGCGCCGTGGGACAGCGGCGGCGTCCCCCAGGCCGCGGCAGGATTTCCCCCAGAAGCCTGTTCCCTGTGCGTCCGTCTGTCAGGAAACCGCTCTCCTTGCGAAACCCGAAATGTCTGCCGGGACCTCCTCCTGAAATAGCCCCCAGAGAAGCGGTGGCCGATTTCCAACTTCCGAGCACTCGTCGGCTTTTCTGCTTTGAAACCCCCGTCCCCAGCCTTTACTCTCACGTTTCTCCCGTGTCCGAGGCGCTTCTCGGAGGCGAGACGGAAAGGTTGGCGGCCGATGCGGCGGGCGCAGGGGTCGGGACCGGGGAAGGATTGCGGCCGCAGCGCGGCTGCCCAGGGGCTCCGCGGCCGCCGCAGCCCCTCCGAGCGCCGCCTGCCCCCGCCCGGCCCCGGCCCTCGCCTCCCGGCCCGGCCCGGCCCTGCTCGGAACCGCAAGTAACTCTGCGGCTCTGCAAGGGCCCTGCGGCCCGACCCAACCGCAGGGACCGGTTCCTCGGCCAAAAAGGGTGACCTGAGCAGAGTAGCCACCGAGCCCGCGTTTCTTTGGATATCTTAATCTTTGTTGATTAGGTTATCTCGGAAGCAAGCACGCAGTTTTGTCTTGTTTTTTGCTGAAAAAAAATATTTTTATTAACGTGGATTTTTATACTCTTACAGTGTGCATCGGTAGGATACTGGACAGTAGAGCAAAACAGCTGTATTTGCGTAAAAATGATTAGGCACTGGACAATAGGAGCCGTGTGATATATTTAGCTACAAGAGGATATTTTCAGACAATACCAGGGCTCTTCATTTCCTCTGGTTTACTTAAAGCAAGGATACGAAGAGTTAGAGGTCACAGTTTACTCACCATTTCTACAAAACACCGCTCGTAACCTTTTGCTTTTAAACAAACAGAAGCAGCAGCATCACAAAATTGAGGTAGACCTATTTTACACGTCTCTGTTGCTGGAAACATTTATCAGGCTCCGTGTTTACATTGCCTCTGACCGGCTACACACCGCACATTTGTTTAAAAGTTTAATAATTAAGTACTTTCCTCCCCTCACTGGTGAAGTTCTCCTTTGATGCCCCTCGGTGTGCATAGATACCTAAGCTCCCACTTGAGTGCTAAGTTTCCGTCCCGGGAATCAGATCCTTTTCCACCAAATTGCGTCGCCGGATCTGCAATTCCTTCCTCACTGCAAATTAAATTTAATTAAGCAGTTTACTTAAAACGTATTCGATGTTTTGTGTGAAAAACAAACTGATTTCCTTGTTTTCTTGAGTGGTAGATTTCATTAGAGAACTACCGAACACAATTAACTCAGAATCTATGAGGCTTCCAGCGAGCTTCCAATTTCTTTCTGTGGCGAGCGGGAGGAGCGGGCTCTGCCAGGCTGAAACACCCGTTTAGTTTAAAAGGGGTCGAAAGAGAACACTGGGTTCCAAAATTTATCCAGGAAATAAATTACAGTGCCAGTTGTTTTCCTTATAAGAGCTTCTTGGCGTTCGTCTAAAAGTCGGACGAGTACCATCACGAAGCCTACTTTTAAGCGAATACACATATTTCTTCAGGAATAAAATTATGCAAAATTGGCTCTTTATTAGGGTTTTTTGTAGGATGTTCTTTGCAAGCCTCGATTAATAGGTAGGGAAATGGCAGAAAAGAGCGCGGTAATTTACTGGGATTTAACTTCTAATCCTTTCTGCAGATACTATTTTGGCAAGAAATCTCTACTGGAAGAAATTCGGTAACCCCCTTAATAATTCCACAGGAGCGACTATGCCATTTACACCACCCCTGTTTATACTCGGTACAGCTCTTGTCGCAGACCCTTCGCGTGTGCCGCCTCCCCAGCCCGGTACCACCTCCCGGGGCAGCGGTACCGCCGACCCGTTTGGCTTTTGCCGGTGGCTTTTGCGGGGGAACCGTGTGGGCGCCGGCGCGGGCAGGACGCGGGGGAGCGGCGGAGGGGGACAGCCGGGGGGGACCGCTCCCCCTGCGGACGGCAGCCGCTGGCCGCTAGTGGGAGCTGTGGCCCCGTGGAAGTGCCGCGGGAGCCGCGGCGTGTCGGGCTCCGAGCGCGGCGTCGGGAGCACCCGCGACCCCCCGGCGGCCTCCGCACCCCCCGGGGGACCTGCGAGGCCGCGGGGAAAGCATCTCCAGTGCTGCCTGCTGATAGCTCCCTCTGGCCCGAAATTAATGATGCGGTGAAATAAAAGGGCAAGGTGTCGTGCCGTTGGGATACGCGGCGTCTGAAAACGAACTGTGCCCGAACCCCCTCCCCACGAAAAACTACAGGGGAAGAAAGAGTCCCTGACCAATCGCCAGAAAAAGGCGAGGGAATCCTCAGCCGGTCCCGGAGCCCTGCATTGCCCGCCGTTCTGCATCCCTCTGAAGGGTTCCGCATGTCCGACTCTTCTTTACTCAGTAACGGCCCGTAGCTAATTGTCGCGCAACCAGATAAACTTAGAAAACTCACAGAAACCGTGGGAAGGGCCGGTGGGAACCTAGTGCGGAAGCACCTCCGGGCCTCCTTCCTAGCAAGGAACCCGCAGAAAGTTGTGCACGGAGCTCCGCGCCAGTGGGAGCACGGCCCGGCCCCTTCCCGCGCCGCAGCGCGGAGGTGGCCGCTGCCGCGCAGCTCCTGCCGCCGCGCTCCCCCGGGGTGCGGCACTCGCAGCGGCGGGCAGGGTGAGGGGGAGCCCCGTGCCTCCGGGCCCTGCCGCTGCTCTCCGCTCTTTGAACGGCAGCGTACTCAGGAAACAGGAGGAAACAGTTTTAGCAAAGGTTGGTTTTTAATGCTTATTTAATTTCATTTTTTCTCCCTGATTTCGCTCCATCTGGAGTGACAGGCGCGGCGCCCAACCAGCGCGGCGGCCCGCCGGCGGCCCTATGAGCGGCGGCGGCGGGGCAGCGGGGCCGCGCTTATATGGCTACGGCAGCGCGCTGCCGCCGGCCGCGCTCCTGCGCCGGGGACTCGCAGCGGCGGCATCGGAGGTTGGAAGCGCCGCGCTGGGAACGACAGTGGCTGGCGCCGCTTCTCATCCCTCGCTCCGTTCCTTCTCCTCCGCGGCGGGTTGCGCGTCGGCGCAAGTCCCGCGCCCGTCGTTCCTCCTTCTCAGTCAGCCGCCGCGGCGCGCACTGCAGGTCGCGCAACGGGAGAGGGACGATTTGACGCTGCGGCCCCCCCCCCCCGTTTTGGTTTATTTTATTTTTTATTTTTGTAGTTGTTATTGTCCGTCCCTGTTTCTTTCCTTGCTCCACTCCGTGGTCTTTGCCGGCGACAAGGACAGCAGTGCCCCTCGGGGAAGCCGGAGCCCTGCGGATGCGCCTCCCCGGGACTGGGGGAGCTGACTCGGAGTGGATTTATTGACTCGCGGTTGCTTCCGAGCTGCCCGAAACAGCCCGAGCTGGTGCCCGTGCGGATTGCAAACTGCGGGGAGCAGTGAGAGACATACAGGAGGAGCCGCCCGCCGAAGCTGTGTCCTTTCCCCCCGACCCTTTTATTTCTCCCGCCACCTTTTATTTTACCTCTTTTTAATTTATTTTTTGTTTTACTCCTTTTCACGCGGGCCTTAGACACTGTGAACGCGTATGGCGCTCTGGATCCAAATGGGAGTTGGCAGTTTGAGTGGCATCTTCCAAGGCAGCCGGGAGACCCCCACTAAGAGGAAGGACTAAGGCGTTTGCTTTTCTTTTTTTTTTTTTTTTTTCTTTTTTTTTTTTTTTTTTTTTTTTGCTATTGCTTTTACTTCGGTGGTAGCTTGGATCTGACCTCACAGGAGCTATTCCTACATGAGAGTGGCATACATGACTCAGTAGATCTGCTTGCAGCTCTCGCCAAGTGCATCGTCGACTCTCACTGATTTAAAAAATATTTTTTTTTACTATTCATTCTTTTTTTTCCTATCAATCATCCCGGCTGTTGGGATACCGGGCACCCACCCTGCTGTTGCCGCTCAGGTGCGTGGGAAGGCGCACGGCGGAGTTGGCGAGGCTCCGGGGACGGACTCGGTGCCGCCTGCGACCATGGCAGCGCGGAGGCGAGATGCCTCCGCCTGGAAGTACTGCTGGGGAGCCGTGATGGTTTTATGCAGAACTGCACTGGCGCGGTCCATCGTTTTAGACCCCATATATTGGAATTCCTCTAACCCCAAGTAAGTTTCCATCCCGCTCCCGCCCGCCGTTTCCCCGGGAACCGGCGCTGTGCTCCGTGCGCGGGGGAGGGACGGGACGGTGCCGCAGGTCGGCCGCGGCCGCCGGGAGACACGGGGACGGGGCGGAGTGCACTAGCGGTGAGCGGCGGGGCTCCGGCCGTGGCCCGCAGCGGGATCCGGCTTTTCCCGGGGCTTTCGTGTGACAGCGGAGCTTCCCCGGCGGGAGGGTCTCGGAGGGAGGAGGGAGGACCCGGGCGGCGGACCGGTAGCGGGCTGGGGAGTGGTGCTGCGGTAGCAGGATAAAATCTGCGGGCAAAGTCCGGGCTCGCCCGGGCTGGAGCAGCGGAGGAACCGGGCTGCTCTGAGTTGCCAGGAAAGGGTGATACTCTCCAACTTCTCCGTCTGCAGATGCAAACTCATCCCATTGACTCCAGCGAAGTTACATCTGCTTATAACAGGGCTAAATTTGGTTGTGGAGTTGATGGTATCAAGGCACATGTCAGTGAGTAATGAACTAAGCATTACCCATCACACAGCCATACAGTGTCATTTTTCATTAACAAACCCAAGCGAAAATGTATATGTGTTCCCAGGACCTCACTTTTAAAGCTCACTCTTTTAAGAGATGCGTTATCTTAAAAAAAAAAGCCAACAACCTTTTTACTTAAACGTATAAAATTATTGCTGTTAGACAGAACTTTTTGAAACGTGGCCTGTTCTTCTAAAGAAAAGTCTGAGGCAGTGATGTAAAGCTACTTACACTTGTCTTTTGTCTCCTTGGATTTTTGACATACAAAATGGAAGTTGGCTTTGTTCACTTGTAAGAGCCTCTGAACTTTTGTGATTAGAATCACTAGTTTGGAGAACAAAAATCACGTCAGGAAAAAGTAGACTGTAATGGGTTAAGGGAATTTTAAAGCAGAAATGGGTTAAAATAATTTTTATATACTTTCTCCATCTTCAGTTATATATGATTAAAATAATATGCAGTGTGTTAATTGAATTTAGCGTTTCCCATTAACTCCAGTAAGTACATGTCTTGTTTTCCCGGGGGAGTTGGTAGAGGAAATGTTAGGTGGTGATGAGACAAGTATGAATGGAGTATTTCCTGGATCAGGGATTAATCCTGCACAGGTGGCAGGATCTCTAGGAGTTTGGTGAAGATTTTGAAGTTTGAATTAGAAGTAGCATCTCAAGTTTACCAAGGTACCTTGTCTTACAGTCATCATCTACTGTTGCTTTCACTAAATGGAAAAAATCACTATGGATTTCTGTCTGCATTATTTTTTAATACTTGCTCTGTTTCTCTTTACCGAGAAGTTTCCTAGTCTTTCTTAAAGAAAAAGAACTAAAAAAAGGAGAAACTGGCAGGAGCGCGCTGGACTGCTCAGTTCAGAGTCTTTATTTGTAATATTGATTGACAAATACTTATTTTGTATATGCATCAGGTGGGAAGCCTGTTAAAATTTGCTTCCAGTCACTGGCTCAGCACTTCCATGATGTTGCACAGCTGAAGCCTTTCTTTGGCTAAAGAAAGGCACGGCGTCACTTCGGAGCATAAAGCGGCCCGGCTGGTTATAAAGCGGGCTTTATAAGGCTGTTGAGGCTCTCGAAAGGCAAAGGCTGAGAGCCGGGGTTGCATTGCAGGAGTGGGCCTGCTGTGCTGGTGGAAAACAGCCTTGGCTCGGCCTAGGAGGAAGGGGAATGCTTTTGCATCCCAGGCCTCGCTGGGTTTATGCCTACAGAGGTCACTCTTCCAAAGCAGAAGAGCCGGCTGCTCGGAGCTCTCCTCTGCCAGCCCCAACCTGCTTTCGCTTCTTTTTTAACTTACCTTGATCGCTTTTATTAGCCATCAGTGAAACGAAAGCATCGGAGCAGCTGAATTCAGCCCATCTCACAGAGCCTGGGGATATGCTTCTTTTGTCAAACACGATTTGTGTTTCCATTTAGTTAATTCTAAACTGTTTGATTACAAAAAAGGTTTGAATGTTGTTAATGGTAGATCTAATGATAATATCTAATTACTTTTTCATCTTAAATGCACGCTTAAAAATAGGTTGTGTTGCTGATGTAATTGAATTTTCTTGAGTGATTCATTGAGGCTTAATCACCACAGTGAAGAAGTACACTATTAAAATTAGTCTTTTCAATTGCTGGGGCTAGTGATTTATAGGCCTCTTGGAGGCCTGGAGTTTGAGGAGGCTTGCAAATGCATTCCTGACACTGCCGCTGATGAGGCAGCGCTACTTCTCCAAGCAAAATTTCTTACTAATTCTTCTCACACTTGTTTGCCTGAAGGATCCTGAATAATTTCTCCTTAGAGAAGGTTGTCCTCACTCTGGATTCAAGCTGAGTGTTAGCTTGGGAAGTAAAGCTGTTGAATAGATCTTGGCATGGTATAATAATAAAGCTCCTTTTTAGGTTTGAAATAATAACTATCTTTGATGCTGGTTAATTTATTCAGGGAAGCTGTGCATTTAACTCAATTGAAAGTCTCAAAGCAAAAATCTGCTGAACAGGTAGGCAGTTAAAATGGGAGAAGTTGTTAGGTTAATAGAAAGTATGAAATAATAAATTTTAGGTTAAGGTGACTGTATAAACTGAATTGGTTTTGCACTGAAGTCTAGAGGTTATAATTTCTAGCAGGTGGCTGGAATGGAGAGTGCGCAGTAGCTATTTAAACACCGAGCTCCCCTCCCTGTTCCCCCCTTGCCTTTTTAGAGATCTACTTTATTGCCTTGACCAAATCATGAGATTGAAGTGACCTCCATAATTATACCTGTGACTTCATTGCTTGGGAGGTTAAACATCATTGCTGTAGATAGTCTTGGCATACTTTATAGACTTATCATCTGAAGAACTTCTAGATCACCTTATCTTGAAAACACAGAGGAAAAATTACTCTAGGTTTAACTCCTGTTGACACTTTTTAACGGGAGACTTTCTGCTTGTGTTGTTTCTGCCAAGACAAGAAATGTATGCAGATAGCATGGATTACTTCAGCTTCACCTCACCTTTGACACGCAGGACCACGTGTAATGTTATGGGGCACCTTTCAGTGAAGCAGTAAAGAAATCTCATTCAAAAAAGCATGGCTTATGTCTAAGCGTCACTCTTTCCCAGCGTGCTATAGGCCAGCGATCAAGGCAGGTCTCCTTAGTGACATGTGGAAGGTTATCCTCATAAGTGGTGCCTTTGACACTGATTAAGTTAGATTATATAGCTGTTTTTCTCTCCCTCTGATAACCAGTTATATATGGGATATTTCACAGCCTGCCTCTGAATGAATGCTAACATGTCAGAAACTGATAAAATAAACTACAATTGATGACCCTGCTAAATGTTCTATTCAGTAGTGTATAGACTAGTCTGCTTCTCATTGTATCTGAAATTCTTATTTTTGTAGGTAAACAAATGCACATTCACTACCGATTGAATAGCCCCTTGAACTATGCTCTGCAGTTTGCATTTGGGTTAATCTTGTCGGTTTTAATACAGAGGGGAAAAAAGGAGAAAGCACCAGGGGTGGAATTGTTAGTGCATTCACATCCACATTCCTCACATTTTGTCAGGATGATAAACTGTAGGTAATGGACAGCCCTTGTTTCACAGGACAGGCAAGCCAGCCAGAGCACAAAGAGCTTGCTAAAACGATATCACACAACATGTTTGGGAGGCTCTCAGCTAGACAGGAATTTATTTGGGAGTCCTGTGCTGTGGGACTACACTTTTTAACCTATTCAATTACAGCTTCAAGCTGAAGAAACAGGAGTGGAAGGTTAAAATTGTTTAAACACATGCTCCTAAATTGTACCCAAAACATAGCTGTTGACACTTGGCGTGCTAATAGATGGAGCAAGTGGTGGCTTCCAGTCAGTCCATTTGATAGTTCTAGCATTTGTAGCCAGATCCCCAAAGCACAGGTGAATTAACAAAATGAATTCAGAATAAACTGAAGGCCGATTTCTTGAGCTGGTTGTTTTCCCCAGCCTTTTATAGGTAGAGTATAATTGCTATATTATTTATAGTAATTATGTTAAAACATGTTATCTGTAAGCTGTGCTACGTTATTTCACTTTCTTTAATGAAGTAATTGCCTTTAGAAAGGCAGTGACTAAAAGTCATGCTAAAATCACTTAAGTTCTCCCTCTTCCCACACACAAGAATGCCTTCCTTGCCTGTGTTTTTTTTTCCTTCCCCTTCCCCCCCCCCACTTCCATGTTTTATTGTAAGGAGATCACATTGCTTGAGGTGTGACACTCTGGATCCTCTCAAATTCAGCCCAGGTTGCTGGCATGGGGAATCAGGCGCTGAGGTGACTGCTGTGACATGCTGGCATAGACAGGCCTTTCAGCCCTGCGCAGCAGCCACAGGCAGGCCTCCTTTGGGGACCTTTTTCCCTTTATGATCTGGTCTTCATGCATCGTGCAAACCTGCAGTACTTGAAATTGCTTGTTGCAAATGAGAAGAAAGTGTTCTTCTGAGAAAAAAATAGTGATTAAAATGTTATTCATGTGTGCCTAATGTCTGTCTGCCTTGGCTGCTGACATAAAGAAACCTGTTTTTCTGGTCATTTATCATACATCTACATGGATTTGCTTATGAGCTCATTCTTTGTGAGGCGTTGTGGAAACTTACATAGGAATGTTAAACTGCTTGAAATATTTTGATTAAAATACTGAGTGCCATACTA